CACCACGTCCTTTCCAGTTTTCTATTTGTCTGTCCTTCCACGATACCACCTTGTTTTGCTTAATTGCCTTAATAGTAAGTGTTGATGTCATAAGTCTGTTTCCCAATTGAGTTCTTTTCAAATATTATTTTGGCTGTGCCGGCGGAAGCTTTGCTCTTCAATATACATTTTCAAATCTTCTTACCTATTTCAAAATAGCCTGTTGAGATTTTGATGAAGACTGCATTAAATCTATAAATTTTGACACTGTTAGTATTCAGTAAATGACTGTCATTAGTATTGATCCACAGACTGCCATGTGTGGCTGGTCTGTACTCCACAGGGCCTTTCTATTAGTTTATGTGTGTGTCCTCAGTCCTTCCACCCATTGTCAAGCTCCTTAATGTGTCCAACACAGTTGTGCTTTCGTAAGTGTTCACTATCTGCCTCTTGCCTGTCTGCTTTTGTCCTTAGGAGCAAAGTGAAATATAAATGACAGATCTCCTTTGTGCAATTGACTGGCTGCTAGTTGAGATGTCTGGGGCTTGCTTTTCAGATGTCCTTCTGTACTCACTCTCACAGACAGGTGCTTGGAAGGGCTGGCTGCACTCCCGCCTGTCTTCCCTCTCAGCGGCTGGTCCTCCTTGCCTGAATGCTTGGCTGACTGGAGACAGCTTGGCCATTTCTCTTCCAATTTTCGTGAAGGTTGCGTTGAGGTTCTGTAGAGCTAGCCAGTGGGCTATGAAAGAGAAAAGTCACCTCCAGCAAATGGATATGTTTTATGATCAATCGTAAAATGCTTTGTAAGGAAGGCTGTTTTAAATGTTTTTGCATTTCAATTGTTGGTCTCTTCATCTGGTTCCCATTTGCTGTCTCCGTCTCCTCCTTGTCCTCTTCAACCCACTGCGACTAGAGATCTAGCTCCATCGATTTACCAAAACACATCCCAAGGTCACCTACTGGTATTCTTCCATGTCACTGAATCCAAGAGGCAACCTCTGTTCTTGTTGTCCTTGACTCGTCAGCAACACTGGACACTGCTGATCTTTCCTTCTTTTTTGAAATAGTATATTTGCCTGGTTTGAGGGATACCATGTGCTAGTTAGTTAGCTTCCTATTATTCTCATGATGAACTGAGATGAATTAACTTTCAAAGAGAAAAGTTTCCTTTGGGCTCATAGGTGTTTTTTGTTTGTTGTCTTTTTGTACCAGGGATTGAACCCCAGGGCACTTAACCACTGTTGGCTGATACCTTTGAAGGTTTTAGTCCTTCATTGATGGGCCCATTGCTTGGGGCCCGT